GGGTTTAGGGTAGGCCCCCCCTCGAACCCGGTAATCGAGAGGTTTAGGTCAGGTGACACACTTGGATATTCCGTCTTCTTCAGGTACTCAACGCCCTTCCATTCCAAGTAGGCGAGAGTTTTTCCAACGCCCTTCGATTCCATGTGGTGGCACCCAACCTGTAGCAGTACAAAGTTTCCAAGATGGTACAGGCGACGACATGAAGGCAGGATATTCTCCTCGAGCTTGGTCGATGTAACCGTCAGCGTTCACTTTCAGTCCGGGGTCCACGAAGAAAATATCGGTCTTCCCATTCCAGGAACTTCCGGTCCATACCATCAACCCGCGCCTTGGCGACTGCGGTGAAGATGATATCCTGGACCGTAGCGTCGTTGTCGGAGCTGCTCCTGTTGGAGCTTTTCCAGATCAATAGTGCCGGTCCCCAGGTAGCTGTACATGAGCGACTGCATACGACAAGTTTGGCAGCTGTTTGGAGGTACTTGAATACCTGCTCCTACTTATCGAGAAACATCATGGGTCTGGCTGGGTAATCTTTACTGATATATGACTCGCCGGAGTGTTTTTTTATCATTGACCCCCTGTATGCACGTGAAGAGCGGAAGTAGAGTCGCTCTCGCTTCCTGTCCTCTTCGTGGAGCTGCAAAACCTCGAAGTCAACAACGGATTCTTTAAGAAGACGCGAAGCCGCCTGTGTGTCGTGTGGCTCTTATCGCTTAGTACGCAGGAGGTGCTAAACAGCAAATGTGCAAAAAAAAGGTCCTGAAAAGTGGGCGCGTGTCGGGCGCAGCGTTTGCTTACTTAATTATCCACCGGAAAGAGTGTGTTGAATACGGCTTGAAAAGTCATAGATTCATTTCCAAAATTCGCGAATTTGAAGAAGGTACAAACAAATTTAGTCTCTTGCAGACTTTCGAGCCAACGTATTCCGATGAGTCCCAGCTGTGGTGGCGGCGTGCTGGTGGGCGTCCATTGGCAGTACCGAGATGCGGTTTTTCGGGTTACGAGGTAGGTCGCACGTACTCAGTAGGTCTCGAGTGAGTTACTTTCACTGCCTTCATGGTAAAAAATGACACGATTCAATTTCAGTGTCCGGAAAGGTATTCTGGATGGATCGTTTCTGCTGCTATATTGGTTGGCTTGTCCATAGTCATTGTTCTAATCGGACTTCTGATTTTCTTAAGGTTTGTTTGAGTATGTACCGGTAGAGAACGCATAAATTTGACGCTCGCTGTGCGCGATAAAAGCGAGCTTTTACTGGAACGAGGCTTTCAATCAGGCCATCCTGAAGCACATTTGGTATTTGAGCTGCATGTATTGATTGCTGCCAGATCGGAGCCAGAAGGCTTTATGTTGAGCATTCGCTGCACATTCTCAAATTGAATCTAATGCCGAAGAACTTATGACAACGAGATGGAGTGGAAGGAAATGCTAGGTTGTCCCAAGAGTTCGTGACATTTTTTAGAATCTCGTATCAAATCTTTCCGCAGCTATTTCGAGACTACGTTGGTCATTGCGGTAGCAACTTTAAAGGCACATTCCGCGATAAAAATAAGGCTATGACCTCTCAAATGTGTCGGACGATCCGGAAGGCGATTTTTGAGGCTGCGCTACTTTCAAAATGTGAAAACGGCAAGAACTCCGCTAGAGCGCCTGACTAATTAGGCCCATGACACCCTTAGGCCCCGGTGCGAGCTCACGGCTGCTAAGCTACTAGCATAGTGGCCACAGTTATCTTTCTCTGCTAACAATTTCGGACTGGTTTTCTAGAAGCTGCTTTCTCTCGCTAATCAGCATACTTAGCGACTTTTTGCTGCCTATTTCTGAGTTCAGTTTTCCCGCAATTTTTGTCCCGAATGTGGCTTTGATAAGCATCGCACAGTTCCTTTTACCGTCCCTCTTCGTGGGTTCTTATAACGCAGCAGCCCAGTAGATGAAATCCATTGTTTTTAACTCATAACTTCGCTATATGAATTCATCCAAGTCATGGCGTGTTGAGGTCACACCGGCATTTGCCTCTAATTTGGCGTGCCTCATGTTACCATCCGCAAGTACGCGCGATGGAAGTGCGATCGCTTTCGCTTAGGGTGATTTCTTCTCGGGAGGTAAACGTCGGATTCGGACTTATTGCGGCTAGAGCCACATAACTATTAGGTTAGGCCGAAAAGTTTCCCGCACTTGTTTGATCGGACATATTGGCCTGGATGTATATGTTTACTGACTTATTGCGTGGGGTGCATGAAGCACGCCAGAGAGCGTTTGCACATGAAGGGGCACTCACACCACAGCGATTGGCATTTGATTCCAAAATTGGCCATGAGGGGTGTTCAACCCGACAGGCATGCCACCTGAGGCACCTGTCTCTTCTTTTCCTCCATCAGTTCTGGCTTAAAAGCGCAAAGGAAGCCACAGCCAGATAGAGTGGATACATATGGCGCTGAGACGTGGGCTATCTTTTACGACACGTGAGAAACCGGGATGCCAAGTTCAAAGAAAGGATGAATTTTTCTCGTCCAAGAGCTCCAAGGTCCGGCCGGCCCGATGGAGTTAGACTTGAAGTTGCTGCAATCCACCGTGGAAGAGGATCCGTACGCCACTACCAGGGAACTTGCAGCGATGCTCGGCCATGCCCAATCAACTGTTGAATCTGGGCTGGAGAAGATTGGTAAAGTCGCAAAGCTTGGCCGTTTGGATTCACGCAATTCAATGGCAGGAGAAACTTTTCGACGCAATCTAATAGTTGGGGGACTATTGGAGTCGATACGACTTATCCCTCACCCGCGTTATATAACGTCCATAAAACAAAGAAAAATCAGGCTTATCAAAGAAAATTTTCGTCAACGCCCCCGCCCCCCCCCCCCCCCAGCGACCGAATACGACTCCTTCCCCGTTGGGAAACCCCCAAACACGTTGTGGTCTGACTGCGTCCCTCGATTAAAACCAATTATTACGAATCAACTCACTATCCTTACACTCCTTGCACTGTCCTTACACTTGACTGTTCCAAAAGCACAAATGACGAGGTCCTCACTCCTTCAAGAAAGTATTGAAGTTCGGTCAAAAGTTTTCTCATGAGTTGACCGATACTCAAGGGGAAGGGCATGTGGATACTGCCTACAAGTTCTCTCCCGCTCCAGCCATACAGACTGGTTGAACAACCTGGATAACACTCTGGGTGAACCACTCCCGGAAGTGGTGGTGGCTACATTCTCTAGGAAGGACAGAACCAGCCGTGCAATCCCATCAATACAGTAGGAAGGTGATACTGTGCGTGTGGTGAACCATTCATGGGGTTTACCGCAGGGAGTTTCTTCCTCTCAACGCTATGGTAATCCAGCGAGTCCTCCTGTAATTAACTGCAGAGGGAGGATGAAAATCCCCATCATTTGGTCCCACAACATAGCAATGTTTGCCTACTCCACCACAGCTCAGGGTCACACGGTTGGAAAATGACACTGCTGAGATCTTGAAGCTTAGCTGGTGAATTCCACCACAGTTTCGTGTAGCGCTGACTGAGCTCTTTCTGACTGCCATCTAAACTAATCCTCTAGTGACCACCATCTGGGTGAAAAATACGATTTTCAAAAGCATCTCGAAAATGACCCGGCTGCCTTTCTCGGCACGGAACTAAAAGCTTCTGGAAGCAAGGCAACCACTCTTTGCCTGGTGGTTGGCAACAAGTTGCCGATGAAGGTAACATATATATTGTTGATCAAAATTGCTTCTCACTGGAATAAACTTGACTCGAAAAAAAGTTAAAATGTCACGAACTTTTGGGACAACCTAACACAAACTGTCAGGTGCTTCAAGAAGGGGCCGGAGGGGAGGGGAGGGGAGAGGGGGCATTCACCCGATCATTTTGCTTCTGTATCCCGGCATCAGGCAAGACTGGACTGCGAGACCCTACTGATATCTTTGCCAACGTCTGCTCTGCCTTTTGTTCTGTAGTGAACTCACCGGGCGTTACGGTGTCAGCCGGTTGATTGACCGAGCGC